ACAACTCAATGTCAGAGAGCCACCCACCCACACGAAACTGAAACTGAAAAGTCAAACGGACAAATTGAATTTCGGCCTGCAATTTACGCTTTTAATTAAATCATTAAAAAGGGGGCACAAAGATTACGATTACGCCATTACACACACCACACAGGAAAATAAGATTCCGATATGAAATCAAAAATGCATCTATAGATCAAGAAGATATTTCTTGTGTATTAATATATTTATGATGTTAGATCAATAATAATTTACATTGGTTTGCAAACAAAGATTATAAACTATCTTTCAGTTCCAAATAAATTCGGATATTTTTATTTTAAATACTTTAATATTTCATGTAATAAGAATTTCAAAGATACATACAAATATTAAGTGTTTTTCTCTTTGATAACAATTCAAAAAAAAATAAATAAACTACATTTTTCTCTCTGTGCACTAGCAACAGTTGCACTGTTTGTGTTTTGTGGCTCAAAAATGTAATTACGCACTCCGATGCAAATGCAATCGACAGCGAATTACATATTTGTAATGGTTTGCAATTGAACTGCTTTTAAAATTGAATAGCAATTAAATTGTTGCTTGCAAACACGCACACAAACAGGCACCGAAAAAAAAACCAGACGGACCACTACCACTACTACTACACTTGAACTCTGCTGCGCCGACGCAACCGCGCTGCAGAACTTCTCTTCCTCTTCTCCTTGCCGCTATATTTGTTGAGTTTTTACCTCTGGCTATTATCTATTTTAGCATAATTTCATTCACACTAGCTTTTGTTTGCATTGAAATTAGCCGCTGCGGCTGTAATGCTGTAATTAAACAATGCGGTATTTCGAAACACACGCTGAGAACGAACGAACAACAACACTAACACACTCAGGAGCGCCCTTCGCACACACACTTTTATTTAACACGTAAACAACAACGCCGCAACGCCGACGCAACTTATTTTCCCGGCAGCAACTTATTTTCTCGGCAGCGACGCGTCCGCACACGTCCGCTCACGCTCGATTCCGCAGAGAGACGTTGTCGAAAACATAAACAGAATCACTTGTTGCGCTCTATGATGTGACCGACTTGGGGAACTCAAAGTTGGCCGCGTACGTCTGATTTGAGGTACAGTGAGTCACATTAATATTCGGTTTTTTTTTTTGTCAACTTCAGACGTGAATAAAAAGTTTGAAACTAATAAAACAAAAAATCAAATAATGCAGAAATAAAGCTTTTTTTATTACCTTTTCATAGATATATATATGTTATTACTTTTTTTAAAATTTAACTGAGAAACATGCATAAACGAAAGAAATGCCGAATATTGGGGCCACATTAATATTCGGTTTTCCCTTTTGTACTAAAAATCAAAAAAATTATTTAGGAAATAAACTAAATTTGACATTTGAAATGCTAGCCATTATTGTCTATGGTATCGTTTAAATATTTTGGCATACTTTAAATTTTTTTTTGCCTATTCTGGGCCAGTTTTTCCAACCTAAAAAAAGATGTACGGGATAATGTCAAAAAAAGTTTGCAAAGGTACAACAAATTCTCGATTTTTTTTTTTTAATTTATGGTTAAACCCCTAGCCTTTAACTAGAAATCAGTTTCAGCGCAATCCATTCATCACACCAAAAAAGTGGATGGGTACAAAACAGAGTCGCTCAGAAGAAGCGTTTTGCTGCTTGATTCCATACAAAACTTAAGGAAAAATGAATTTTCGAGCGACTCTGCTTTTGTACCCATCCATTTTTTTGGTGTGATGAATGGATTGCGCTGAAACTGATTTCTAGTTAAAGGCTAGGGGTTTAACCATAAATTAAAAAAAAAAAATCGAGAATTTGTTGTACCTTTGCAAACTTTTTTGACATTATCCCGTACATCCTTTTTTTAGGTTGAAAAAACTGGCCCAGAATAGGCAAAAAAAAAATTTTAAAGTATGCCAAAATATTTAAACGATACCATAGACAATAATGGCTAGCATTTCAAATGTCAAATTTAGTTTATTTCCTAAATAATTTTTTTGATTTTTAGTACAAAAAGGGAAAACCGAATATTAATGTGGCCCCAATATTCGGCATTTCTTTCGTTTATGCATGTTTCTCAGTTAAATTTTAAAAAAAGTAATAACATATATATATCTATGAAAAGGTAATAAAATAAGCTTTATTTCTGCATTATTTGATTTTTTGTTTTATTAGTTTCAAACTTTTTATTCACGTTTGAAGTTGACAAAAAAAAAAAACCGAATATTAATGTGACTCACTGTAGTAGTCGGGACTCGAACATGGTTCGGAAATAAATAACAAAAACGAGTTTTCCAGGCCTGGACAGGGATGCCAGCTCAATTTTGTAACGAACGCACTCGATGAGCGTTGTCCAATGTCCACCCTAACACCTCTGTCTACGTTTTGACCGGCCAATTGATTAGTTTGATGTTTGTGAGCCCAGCTGATTTACAACAAGACCATGTTACATGCAAAGCGGGTGAACTCTGAAAACTTGGGTCGCCCTACAAAAGAATAATATTTTTCGATTATTGAAAGTACTAGGCTTTAGTTCCCCCATCTAAATTTGATGTCCATCAGAAGGCACCTTTAAACGCAAAGTGACCGCAAACTTTAACTTTTACGGGAAAGTTGTCATAAACCAATTTTATGGCAGGAGTGACGAAGCGGGCACTTCGCGTTGGGAATGCCAACTCAAGGCCTTAAGGCCGAATTGATGCCTCGCCTTGCAAAGTGCGGCCAAGCACGACGTGAGGACGTCAACCAAAACCTTGGAGAGGTTCAGCCCGCTGACGGGAATTCTGGAGAGGATCGGGACGACGGCAGCGAACCGGACAACGCACCAGCGGCTGCACAGAGGGCGAACAGAAAATCCAGTAGTAATAGCCTTTGGTAGAGAGAATGAGCACATGCCATTTGACCTACGTACTCTGCGTTGGTGCGTAAAAAGAGTTTTCTCCATAACCGAAAGTGGTCAATGGTCCCTACTCCCCCCGGTAGAGAAAACCCACGATATCCATGGTCAGCGAATTGGCACATTGGAGTACAGGGATTGGACGCCAGACACTCTGGAGTCCAATCTGGAGTAAACCCCTCCCAAATTCCCTCCCAAGTCCCTCCCAAATTACTCCCAATTCCCTCCCAAATTACTCCCGCACAATATACGGGCATAATACGCATAAGACAGATCCAAGTATTTATTTATCTTTGTCCTTGGCCAACCGACGAATAAGCTTTCTTTTGCTATTAAAATATATTAACTAATAAATATGACAGTCTTTATCTTTTGAACCCCATACTTATAATGATGATCCTCACCAGGTCGCACAGCCAATTTAAGACCGAGCCTTGCGGACTCCTCGAATTGGAATTGAGTGTTGAATGTGCCCAGAGCGAACGATGGCGATAAGCCCGTTTTTGATAATTAGTTATCGGGTCACGATTCTAGCGATGGCCTTGAGTAACTGTGGCCTTGAGTAACTGTGTTGAGTAACTGTGACCAGTTTTCGTTCGCTTTGGGCGCGCGTTTGAAAAGTTGTGCGAGCTTAGTTATATTTAGTTCTTGTGACGATTTGTAATGTGCTCATTTGTGCAATATTAAAATTAATAATATTCTCATTTGCATTTATCTCCTTTTGCAGGCCTTGCTCTCTGTAAACCAATATTTAAAATATTTTAATATTTCCAAAAGCTATCTGTTTTTTACCTTGGTCGAAGCACAACATTTATTTTTGCTTTATTTCTTGTCGTCAAATAAAGTGTCAATTTTCTTTTTTTAATTTGCTGCTGTACTTTTCAATAAATACAACAAAAGTGTACCCCAACGGTTAATTTATTTCAAAAACATTTCCATCAAAAAGTTACGCGGTTGGGACATCGGATAGTAATTTAATCAATCCACAGCGCCACATACGGGAAAAAGTCGAACTAACTTGAACAGCGACCCGAACCACAGTGTTTCCTATATTTTCCGCAGGCAGCGCCAGTTACAAAAACTAAGACACAAACCAACACGATTCATGTATTTTCCGCAAGTGGCGCCAGTTATTAGGAAATATTTAAAAATATATATTTATACCCTTGCAGAGGGTATTATGATTTCAGTCAGAAGTTTGCAACGCAGTGAAGGAGACGTTTCCGACCCCATAAAGTATATATATTCTTGATCAGTATCACTAGACGAGGCGATCTAGCCATGTCCGTCTGTCCGTCCGTCTGTCCGTCTGTCCGTCCGTTTCTACGCAAACTAGTCTCTCAGTTTTAAAGCTATCGGGATGAAACTTTCGTAAAAGTCGTATTTCTATTGCAGGTAGTATATATGTCGGAACCAACCGGATCGGACAACTATATCTTATAGCTCCCATAGGAAGGATCAAAAAAAAAACGTAAAAAAATTCTAGCTCCGGTGTTTTTTGAAATTTTACCTTTTATATATTTTTTTTTATATATTTCTGAATTTCGGCTTTTTTGTTTTTTAGATCGGATCACTATATCATATAGCTGCCATAGGAACGGTCGAAAAATTAAATGGAAATTAATGGGAAAAAAATTATATCTTTGTTGGTTTTTATTACATTCCCTTCTACTCTGGGATATGACTATTTTGAAATATTTCCGAATTTCGATTTTAATTTTTAAAAAATCGAACTACTATATCATATAGCTGTGATAGAAACGATCGAAAAATTAATGTGAAATAATAAGAAATTTAACATTTTTGTGATTTGTAAATTAATAGAATGATCTGCAAGGGTATATAAGCTTCGGCTTGCCGAAGCTAGCTTCCTTTCTTGTTTATAGCTCTTTTTGAACTTGTAACTTTTTTTTAACATAATAAGTTGTTTCTCTCTTCGCTGTCGATCATAAAAAACAACTTTTTGATCCCGCTGAAAAAAAAAATCCCACACAGCCCAAAAATATTCAAAAGTGATTGTAATTTTTTTTAACAAATTCTTTATATTTGCTTGCATTTTAAATTTTTTTTGTTCTTTTTGTGGTTTTTTCTTTGTTTTTTCTTTTATAAAACTTTGTTTTAAGTTGTTCTTTTGTTTGTTTGTTGTTTTCTGCGGTTTTTGTATATAAATAATAATACTTATGGCTAGTAATATAGTAAACGTTTTTCGATTTCTCATCTCAATTTTGTCTTGCTGCCGAATGCTGCATCATCGTCTTTAGGCCAAAACGTAAATTTTGTTAATTGATCTCTGGTGTTCTGTGTTTAGTTTGAACGGCCTTTTGTTGTTCATTCTGACGCTGTTGTTGTTGTTGTTTTCTGCTTGATCTCGTGTGTTTGTTGAATCGAAAAACTGCAACAATTGCAACTAACAAAGCTAAAGTTACGCTAATATATAGAATTTTTTGTTTTTGCTTCCGTTTCAAACTTACTTGGCTAGATGTTCGCTGCTCTGCCTTAAGACTAACAATATTTACACTTATCAAAAATTTGCTAATAGTTTTGCTTGCTCATTTGTCATAATCATTGTTCTTTCATCGATTCTCTCACTTAGTTACGAATTTCTTGTTTATAGATTGCAATTTTATAATTTCTGTGTCCTCCGATTGCTTGTGATGTGAGGAAAGGGACTTTAAGAGGGGGGGAGTTGGTTTTTTGGGATATAAAATATATTCATGCACGTTCACAACCTGAGCATATTTAGCATTTAAGAACCCCCCCGTCCGTTAAATTCCCTTCCCCGTAACATCGTTTTCATTTCAATACTGCTTGGAATTGCTAGTGGGCGCCAGCAGGCGACGCGACCAGCACGTCGTCCTCGTCGTCGTCCTCTACAACTGATACTAACTGCCGACCATGATGTGGGCGGGCTGCTCCAGCTCGTTGTCATGGAGCCGGGAGGCGGCCACCACCTGGCCACCCAGACCGCTCTTGAACAGATCCTCCGAGCTGAGCTTACAGCTGGGCACTAGCTCGGTGAACTCCGAACCCAAGCCGAACTCCATGTCCAGGAATCCGTACTCCCAGGTATTCGCCGCCGCCGAAACATTCGAGCTAATGCTGCTCACATACGACGAGGTCAGCGAGTGGGTGGCCGAGGAGATGGTCGAGAGGGTGGTAAAGGTGGCGGTGGTGGAGCTGCTGCTGCTGCCACAGGAACTACTACTCCCGCTGCTTGCCTGAACGGTGGTGAAGCTGCCGCTGAAGGCCAGCGTTGAGCTCGAGGATGAACTGGAACTGCTGGCCGCTGCTGGCACTGAAACGGGCACAGCTGTAGGTGTTGCCGCCGCTGGTAATATGCTAAATAGATCATTGTTGTTCAGCGGATCCAGCGCCGATTGCGAACTCAGGCTGAGCACCGAACTCCAGTTGATCGAACGGGTGGAGTCGTCGTCCGCATAGCCGGAGTCGCTGGTATCGCAGTTGTTGCTGCCACTTGGGGCAATTGGAGGGGTAGCTGCGGTGCTCGATGAGTTACCACTACTACTACTGCTGCTCATCACCGTTGAAGCAGTGGTGTTTATACTGCTACTGCTGCTGGCGGGGGAACTGTTGCTGGTTGTTGCTGCTGCTGCTGCTGCCGAAGAAGCTGCCGCTGCTGCTGCTGCTGTGGTGGTGGGGCAGGCGGGAAAGGGCGTGGCACGACCCGACTGCGACTCCCGAAAGGGATAGTGATCGTAGGGATGCAAACTGCTGCTGCCGCTCGCCGTTGTTGCTGCTGTCGCCGCGGAGTTGTTGCTGCTGTTGCCGCTGGTATTGCTGCTCGAAGTATCACAGTTGCTGGGCTGCTGCGTGGCAAAGCCCACTCCCCTGTAGGCTGCTGTAGGCTGGCTCTCCAGTCGCTCGTGGTACTGCTGCTGCTGCTGCTGCTGCTGTTGTGGCTGGAAACTCAGTTGCTGGTAGTGATCCATGTTGGCCAAGCGGGCACAGTTCAGCACAGGCGCATAGTCCAACTGCTGCTGCTGCTGCTGCTGGGGATGCGGATGCAGTGGCGCTGGCGGAGATTGCTGATAGGCTGGATGGTATTGCGCCGCTTGTGCCGCCGCCGCTGCCGCTGCTGCTGCTGCCGCCGCCGCCTGCTGGTGATGCTGCTGCGCCGCCTGGTGCAGCTCCTTGGCCTCCGCCTCGATCTCGCGATCGATGCGCTTCAGGGTATTGCAAATGAGCACCGAGCGGTAGAGCGACTGCTCCGAAACCTGCCTAAAACGGGAGAGCTTAAACATGGACAGATTGCGTATCTTCAGCCGGGTGTCCTTGTAGCAGCTCCGGTTGGCACTGCACCAGCCACCGGGGCGTCCATCACAGCAGCGCTTGAGGGGCAGGCCATGCAGTGGCAAACCGGCGAAGGGAACGACGGGCGGCGAGGAGGGTGGCGGACTAATGGGGGAGCCACCTCCAGCGGATGCTGCACCACTACTGCAACCCAGATCCAGATAGGATTTGCCATTCTCCGCACAGCGAATGGTTTGTTGAGGCGCCGCTGGTGGGGCATAGGCTCCTCCTCCTCCGTTGGTGGCCTCGTAGAACTGCTGGGCTCCTCCCACTGCGGGATTCGCGGCACTTCCGTTGGACGTCGCCCATTGAGGAGGAGCAAAACCCCTCGCCTGCTGCGGCGCTGGCGGAGATTGCTGCGTCATGTGCTGCGGTCCTCCGGTTCGCGAGCAATTCTGCTGGGGGAATGGCTCCGAGTAGTAGTTGGGCTGCCTGCTGCCATATCCAGGGGCATAGCTCCTCTGCTGCTGCTGAGCGAGTTGCTGCTGCTGCTGCTGGGGATGTGGTTGCTGCTGGGAGAGTTGCTGCTGCTGTTGCTGTTGCTGCTGCTGGTGGGGATGCGGCACCAGCGGATGGTTGTGCGGATGCGACACAAAGGGATGATAGCGCATGGGACAGTAGGTGGGTATGATGCTCTCCTCCTCCTCGTAGTCGTCCTCGAAGTCATCATCATCGTCGTCCAGCTCATCGGCACTCAGCAGAGTGGTGGCTAGCGTGGAGCGGGTGGCAATGCAGCCCCAAGGATCACTGGGCACCGCCACCGCTTGCAGCTTGGAGATGCAGTCCACGGGTTCAGCGGACACCACCGAGGGTGTGGAGGGAGTCGCTGAACCCGCAGTTGTCCAGGGCTCACAGGGAACGGCCGAGGTGACCACCTCCAGCCGGGCGATACTATCCTCCGGTATCGCCGCACTCGCCGTCGGCGGCAGTGGCACCTCCGCTTGACTCTTCAGCGAGGCAACCACCGCTGCGGTAGTAACTTCATGACCATTGCTAATACTTGGCTCCGTTGTGGGCTTCATCGCATCCAAATCCATGGTGGATGACTCCAGCACAATATGGTTGTTGTTGGACTCGACAGCTGGCTCCGATTGCTGCTGCTGCTGCGATTGCTGCTGCTGCTCCTCGAGCGATTCCAGGTAGTTGTTGTTGCTAATGGCCCACTTGTTGGCCTTGATGGGGGGCGGGGCACAGTTGCCCGTGTAGGTGGTGTTGGCATCCTTGCTATCGAAGGTCAGCTCATGCTTCCGCTTGGTGGCGGCTGTTGCTTGAAGACCCATCGCGGAATTCACCTGTAAAACAGGGGAGAGAGAGAATACATTTAGTGATTTGCCGCCAAAAAAGGTAAAGAAAGTTGCAAGAGGAGTTGGGTGTAAATACAGAGAGAAAAACTTAATCTATTGCTATAGAATAGTGACCATAAAAAACGGCAAGTTGAAACCGCAGCCAAAACGGCTTGACCTAAAAATCTAAAAACAAAAACCGAAATTCTGTTTAATCTTTATATCGCTCTTAAATAATTTATTTTGGATTCATTGATTTCAATTTGGGTGTATTTTCCCTCTGTGCATCATAAATTTCCTCACGGTTCGCACGAGCCAACAAAGGACACACAGCCAGAGCTAAAAACTTATCAAGAAAATGGAAGTCAGGCAGGGACTTGAACTCCCCCTCTTTGGCCCACCCTCCCCTCAACCACCCTCGTCGTAACACCCACCCACCCACTTCCACCCACTCGAGCCATGAAAATGAAATGGAAAATGCCAGGCAACAACAAAAACAAGAACCGTCAAGCCAGCAGGCCAAGTCGAGGCTGTCTGCCCGTCAGTCAGTCAGCCACCCTCCACCCCCAGCCACCCACTCTCCACCCCTCCACCCCCTGCCCCTCCCCCTCTCGACTGCTGGCTGGCATTGCTCATCGACGTTGCTCGAAATCTTCTTAAAATAAAACGCACAGAGACGGAAAAAGAGAGGGCGGAACCCCGAGAATTGTGTGGGCTGCCACGATTGCCGTAGTCTTCCCATTCTGAATGCTCTTCTTTAGCCGCTGCTTCTTTCCCACCATCAACTTCCGCCATTCCACATTTGTTGTGCGACTTTTCTCCGTTTCTCTTTTTTCGAAACTATTTTTAAGTCTTTCGAGTTCTGCTCCAGCCATGATTTTGGATCAACACTCTGGAACGGAACAATGCCAGGGAAGAATTTCCCGGAAGGCTCTTCTATCCGTAATAAAAACATGGCAGAGTAATAATAATGTTTAAGGTATTTATTTAAAAGACAATAATAAACCTTATAAAGAAATATGTCTTATAATAAAATTCATAATTTTAAAATTCTTTAAAAATGTTTATATACAACATTTTATTAAAATATATTACCCAAGTCATACAAAATTGCATTTACTATACAAATGATCTGTCATCAAGATGAAAATTGAGCTTTATTAAGTTTTATATCCCGAAATCTGTCATCATCCCTCGGCTTAAAAGTATATCTATCGATCGCTGAATCATGCTGGGGATTTTCACAACTCCCATCTCGCCGAAATCTCCCTTTTCATTTAAGAGTTGCCACCCTTCAATTGCCGGCACTCTACCCAATAAAAAAAAAAATTCAGTGCCCTTCGCTGCGCTACTTTCCCCATTGAGTTTTGAACATCTGTGCGTACGTCCGTGGGCCGAAGAACGGCCTTTGTCATATCCATTTGCCAGATATCCATAAGGGTTGCCATATGCTCGCATATTTGCCAGAGCTGCTGCTACACTGATGTTGCTGCTGTGATGTTGCTGCTGCTGCCGTTGGTGTTGCAGTTGCCTTTAGCATTGGGGGAATATAATACGAGAACCCGAACCCGAGGGTGAGTTTTTCGTTTCGTTTTCAGTGCGCTGTATGTTATCGTCATCGAGGTCGGTCGTCGTCGTCGCTGAGTCGCATGTGTTTCGCATTTTTCCTACCCCGGACCCCTGCCCCTTTCCCCTTCCTTATTTCCCTTGTTTGCCTGTCTGCCTCTTTGCCACTGCCGCATGTCTCATCATCGCATTTCATCCCTCGTTTCGCTTCTCGTTCGCGTCTGCAGCTGTATTTTCGGTGTTATTTTTGGTATAGGGGCTGGAGCGAGTCTAGACATGCTGGCCTGGCCCGGCCGTCGTCCGTACTCCGGATGATTCGCCCTTTTGGGAACGAACCGTCGTCGAACCGAAAGAAAGACCAAAACGAGTGAAGTTCCCTTCTTGGAATTATTGCTGGGCTTCCATTCCATACCCATTGCCATTCCTTCTCCTCGACTGACTCATTCTTATCATCATCGTCGCTTTAAAGGCGAGGCGGCGCACCGAGCTCACTCACTCATTGCTCATTGTTCTGTTGACAACTGGTCGTATGTGTAATGCGAGCGAAGCTCGTTGCGCATACGCCGTGTGCGCTTAAAAGCTGCGCTAAAAAACCAATCAGCTAAAAGCTTTACACCCCCAACCCTGCCCCTTTCTGAAATCTGAAATTAAATCGCATCAGCTGAGCTTCGCAACGGGAAAACCGAAATACGAACATCAACAAAAAACAAAAATAAAAGAAAACTTTCTACGCTAATTTTCGTTCGAATGGAGAAATGGTGGCCATCATTATAAGCCGCAACAACAAGAGCTACAACAACATTTATACAATGCTGGCCATCATCTTGGGACTGCCTGATGATGATGATTTTCGAGCTGCGTTCGCTGGCAATGTTGCTGGAAGTTGAATTTTATTGCCACACCAACATCACTCTGGCAGTTTCAAGCGGCAACGGCAACAGCAACCAGGCAACACACAAAAGCCAGTCCCCCGTCAAGCGTTCGTTGCTTTTTACCCACCAGCAACAGCAACATCTACAGCAGCAACAGCAACAGCAGCATTTTACGCTTCGCCAGCAACTCGTTTCAGCTGGCACTGGCAGCGGACTGAAAACTTAAAACTGAAAAGCAGGAGGAGATTCGCGGAGCGAGGGGCGTGGGTCTCCGGCTCCGACTGGCTCCAAATTGACGGCCCGAGTCTAAAGCTTCGCACGCAGCGTCGTCGTCGTCGCTGCAGTTGCTGTTGCTGTCGCTGCAGTAACAACAACAACGACAAACAACAGCAACATCGTCGCTACCTTCAAATTCCACAATATTCAAGTTTCAGGTTATGAGCCAACCAAGCAGCCAAAGCAGCCAGGCAGCCAGCGAACAGAAACCAACCCAACCTGAGAGCCGGAGCCAGTCATCGTCAGCAGCAACAGCAACAACAGCAGCAACAGCAATATAGCAACTCGAAACGAAATGTTTGCCCGAAAGCCAGAGCCAAGAGCTAAGAGCCAGGGCCCGGGACAACGGCAACGGCACCGTGGGTCTAAACTGAACTTCAAATGGTTTCCAAGTTTTTTAGCCACAGTAAAGGTTTAATACGTACTAAAGAAATCCATTATTATATCATTAGATCAGACCTAATCATCTCTATACGATTTATAAAAGACTGCATAAAAACAAAGAATTAAGATTGATAAACCATTTAAAAAAAAAAAATAAAAAAATTTCAATTGTTAAGAAAATTTTACAATTTTCAATAGATTATTTGATCTTTTAAATACTAGATGATTTATTTCGAAAATGTCTTTAAGAGATTCTTTCACTTATAAAGCTCTAAAATAAATTCGAAATTTAAATAAAAAATTCAATTTTTGATAGATCATTTAAACAATATTTTTATATCATATCCAAAAAACCTTTTTTCGTATAACTTTATATGGTTTTCTAAACCTATAGAAACCCTACTTCCGAACCCATAATAAAACCCCTTTCCACTCCACTGTACCCGCTCGAGAGTCGGTTTCCAAGCATTTAAGTCGGTCGCCGTTGCCGTTGTCGTTGTCTTTTCAGCTACCTCCAGTGACTCTGGCTATAAACTCTGGGGCTCTGAAACTCTGGCTCTGACTCGATCCACTCCGGTCGGAGCGGGTCTACTCTGGTCTGGGGGCCCCACTTTGAATTCTTCGGCTGGGGCGCACAACACAACGTGCGATAGCAGCTAAAACGAGCCAGGCAGTCAAGAAAAAGAAAAAAAAAGAGGAAAAAATAACAAGTAGAAGCAAAAAAGCCGAGTTTCGGTTTTCGAGCTTGGGTTTGGGTTTTAGCTTGGGTTTTAAGCCGCGATCTCCGCCAAAGCAATTTAAGTGTACGAGCCGAAAGAGGAAGAAGAAACTTTGGAAACATAAAAAAGAGCGCGCGGCCCGAAGTAGAAGAAGAAGAAGACGATGAGGCATAATAAAAAAAATTACCAGCAAGCCGGAGTTCAACGGAGTTGAATAAGAAGAAGAAGAAGAAGCGGTCTTCTGCTCATCATAATAAAAATGAATTGAATTGAAGACGATGAAGAAGACGCACCACCCGCTCTCTCCCACTCTTCTTTCTTTCTTGTGCGCTCTCTTAGTTTCGTTTCTTAGTTGGTGTTTTGGATTGGATGGGCTGGGAAGAAGCTCGAGATGACGCCGTTGATATGGTGGCTTGTCGTCTCTCGGAGTTTCCCATGCTGGCTTAGTTATTTTTCCCTCCCTCATGGGTGAAAACTTTGAATGCAAACACCCACAACAACAATAACAGAGCGGGGCGAGCTATTTGCTTATAGCGGCACATGACGATCTGGGAACGGAAAGATTTCCGAGCCCGGCTTTCTCACTACTATTTGAACTTCCCTAACTCAAGCTATAGCTATTTGGCATTGGTAAGATTTGAGTTTTAGAAAAATGTGCTGTAATATTTTATGAATGGAAAAATATATATCATTTAATCTTGACAGTTTTTAGTATCATTACTTTTAGGATTGGTTTTAAAATGGTTAATACAATCCACCAAGTTAATATCTTAGTGTTAGAAATGATTTGAAAGTTTAAGAAAATAGTGGAGATAGTGATATTTCCCAAAAATTGTACTATTTTCATACATAATTTTAAGTTATTATAGTAAGGGTTATTTACAAGACTGTGTACCAAATGACAGAGCAAGGTTATGCTAAGACCATGGATTGGCTATGCTCTTTGTGGGTGGGGTATGGTAAGTGGGCTACTTCGTATGAGGCAGACTTTTTTGATGTGCGCATATTTTGCGTCGGCCATTTCATGTTGCCGCACCACGGAGTTCGCCGCACGACTGACAGACACAAAACCCCCGATTCCGATTCCGTTTTCGATTCCGAGTTTCGAGTCCGAGTCCGAGAGTCCCCGTGTCGTCGATGTGGGGCCGTCGATTGGCAGCAGCAGCAGCAGCAGAGAGGCAGCAAAGAGGCA